CAATATCAACAGTGGCAGCCCCAAAAACTTATCAATATAAGAAAATGTATAGTCTCTATCAGTCTAACGCCACATGATGTGACAAAAACATGAAAAATTTGGGTTTAAGGGTGAAACACCCTAGAAGATGGTAGTATAGGCTTCATGATAATCTCAACCCACCCATGGTCCCCTGAAAGAGTACTGGGTCACATCAGTCAAGTGGTTTTAGTATAGGCCGATGACATCTATCTTTTGACTCTTAAGGAAAGCAAAAATGGTAGGAGAGTTTAACTTTGTAACCCATACATTTAACTTTCACCCAATAAATTTAAATACTAAGTTCACCTTTTCAGGCAGAATCTCACTTTTCTTAATACATAGAAACCTTTTCTAATGTCTTTTCTGCCCCAGCCATCTCAATGTGCTGACATAGTTCATGGCAGCCACAGCACCTCTTTGTTAAAAATGTAAAAAAAATGCACTGTAAGCCCTGACTTCTTGTAGCATCATATGACTATCCAGGATACTTCCTTACTGCTCACGGAATAAGGTGTGGTTTACTTCAGTGAACCACACCTCCCTCTTTACTATACCACCTCTTTTTATTTTTACCCACTTTCCTACTTCTTCCTTTAACTTGTTGCCGACCGCAGATAGCCGAATGACGGCTGCACTGCGGCCGGCCAGTTCTGAGTGGACGTCGTATGACGTCCTCCCAGAACGTGCTCTCCTGCGCGCCCCAGGGGGCGCGCACCCGGCGATCTCCGTGATCGCTGTGTCCTACAGATACAGCTGATCACGTGATGTGGTAAAAGGCCAATCACAGCGGCCTTTTACCACGTGATCAGCGGTGTCCAATGACACGCTGATCAGAGGGAAATGCAAGTGCCGGTTCTCGGCTGCACTTTCCTCACGCTGTCAGATCGTGAGGAAAGTACTGCCGAGAACCGGCAGTTGTCAGAGAGAGGATCGGCACCGATCATCAGGGCACTGATGATCAGTGCCCTGATGATCGGTGCCCAGCAGTGGCACCCGCAAGTTCCGCCCACCTGTGCCCAGCAGTGCGCCCACTAGCTCCGCCCACCTGTGCCCAGCAGATCACCCACCTGTGCCCAGCAGTGCACCCACCTGTGCCACTCTGCAGTGTCACACACCTGTGCCCAGAAGTACCACCTACCTGTGCCCAGCAGTGCCACCCACCTGTGCCCACCAGTGCCACCCACCTGTGCCCACCCACCAGTGCTGCCCACCAGTGCCACCCACCAGTGCAGCCCAGCAGTACTGCCAGTCAGTGCCACCAGTCAGTGTCCAGCGGTTGTGCCAGTCAGTGCCGCCAGTCAGTGCCCAGCAGTGATGCCAGTCAGTGCCGTCTATCAGTACCCATCATCAGAGTCACCTATCAGTGCCACCTATCAGTGCTGCATATTAGTGCCACCTATCCGTGACACCTCATTAGTGCTGTCTATCAGTGCCGCCTATCCGTGCCACCTCACTAGTACTGCCTATCAGTTCCCTTTAGTGCCCATCAGTGCCGCCTATCAGTGCCCATCAGTGCTGCCTCATCAACGCACATCAGTGAAGGAGAAAAATCACCTGTTTGAAAAATTTTATAATAGAAACAAAGAAACTTTTTTTTTTTCAAATTTTTGCAATTTTTTTATTTATAGCGCAAAAAGTAAAGCGCCCAGTGGCGATTAAATACCACCAAAAGAAAGCTCTATTTGTGAGAAAAAAATGATCAAAATTTCATATGGGTACAATGTTGCATGACCGCGCAATTGTCAATCAAAGTGCGGCAGCGCTGAAAGCTGAAAATTGGCCTGGTAAAGAAGGGGGTATAAGTGCCTGGTAGGCAAGTGGTTAAGGTGGCCATACATTGTACAATCTGAATACATGATTTCCTTTAGATGTACTGTCAACTATGTAGTAGCATAGTGGGAATGCATGTTTGTTGTGTGTTTTTCCTGCAGCACGCAGAGGGCAACCCATTGATTTCAATGGGTTGCCTTACACATGACAAATGCTACAAAGCAGCTCATGGGGCATTTTGCTATGTTACAGTTTGCACATTTTTTACCTTGCATTTGTCATGTGTTTTTGCATGTGACAAAGTGAGCATTTGCTTCCTTGTTGAGGGTGCCAAAAACAATTTAAGGCATCAAAAGTGCAACTAGCTGGGGACCACACCCAGGAAGGAGCCTGACCATGGCTTGGAGCGGGAGCTCGATGTGAGGGCTCCCAGCTCCCAAGCACCTCCAGTGTCCTGCCGAGAAGGGGAGAGATGTGTGGGAAGCCCTGGGAGACTAGCCAGGGAGAGGGGGGGGCTTGCCTGGCGGGGAGCGTGGACCGAGGACCTCCGGGAGTGACGGCCATCACGGCGGGTCTTCCTGTGCTCCCGGCCTAGCGCTGTGTGTTCCCCGGAGCTCAGTGGATGCCGGGCGAACAGGTGGTCTGCTGCAAGGGAGCTCTGGGAGGCAGAAGAGCCTGGCCAGCGTTTATTGGAGCAAGGGAGATGCCGGCTCTCTTCCTCCTGCACACAGGACCGGGGAAGCTGGAGACACGTGGAAACGGGCTGGGTGAACCCCCCCTGCAATCCACTCATAGTGTGAGGGGAATGTCGAGTGCAATGTCCCCAGAAGAGAGTACCTGGAGCCGCCTCACCCCTCACTTGGAGTAAAGGAAGAGATGTCCTAATGTGTGGGAAAGTCTCTCAGAGAAGTTCAATCTCATAGAAACCAGAGATCTCACATGGGGGAGAAGTATTCCTGTTTCGAGTACGGGAAATGTCTTTCATGTAAGTCCTATTTTTATATATACCGGTGATAATACAAGAGGGAGCAGCCATAACCTTGTTCAGAGTGCGGGAAATGTTTTTCACAGTCCAGTCTACATATACAGTGGGGATCAAAAGTTTTGGCACCCCAGCTAAAAATGTGTATTAATGTGCATAAAGAAGCCAAGGAAAGATGGAAAAATCTCCAAAAGGCATCAAATTACAGATTAGACATTCTTATAATATGTCAGCAAAAGTTAGATTTTATTTCCATCATTTACACTTTCAAAATAACAGAAAACAAAAAAATGGCGTCTGCAAAAGTTTGGGCACCCTGCAGAGTTAATATCTTGTACTGCCCCCTTTGGCAAGTATCACAGCTTGTAAACGCTTTTTGTAGCCAGCCAAGAGTCTTTCAATTCTTGTTTGAGGTATCTTTGCCCATTCTTCCTTACAAAAGTCTTCCAGTTCTTTGAGATTTCTGGGCTGTCTGTCACGCACTGCTCTTTTAAGGTCTATCCATAGATTTTCAATTATGTTGAGGTCAGGAGATTGTGAAGGCCATGGCAAAACCTTCAGTTTACGCCTCTTGATGTAATCCCCCGTGGATTTCGAGGTGTGTTTAGGATCATTATCCATTTGTAGAAGCCATCCTCTCTTTAACTTCAGCTTTTTCACAGATGGCATCAAGTTACCATCCAAAATTTGCTGAAATTTTATTGAATCCATTTTTCCTTCTACTCGTGAGATGTTCCCTGTGCCACTGGCTGCAACACAACCCCAAAGCATGATTGATCCAAACCCATGCTTAACAGTTGGACAGAGGTTCTTTTCATTAAATTCTGTGCCTCTTCTTCTCCAAACGTACCTTTGCTCATTCCGGCCAAAAAGTTCAATTTTAACCTCATTGGTCCACAGAACTTGTTTCCAAAATGCATCAGGCTTGTCTATATGTTCATTTGCAAAGTTCAAACGATGATTTTTGTGGTGAGGACGTAGAAGAGGTTTTCTTCTGATGTCTCTTCCATGAAGACCATTTTTGTACAAGTGTCTCTTTATAGTGGAATAGTGTACCACAACTCCAGTGTCTGTCAGATCTTTCTGGAGGGATCGTGCAGTTAAACGTGGGTTTTGAATTGTTTTCCTCACAATCCTGCGAGCTGTTCTGTCTGATATTTTTCTTGGCCTTCCAGATCTTGCTTTAACTTCCACTGTTCCTGATGACTGCCATTTCTTAATTACATTCCGAACAGAGGATATTGACATCTGAAAACGCTTTGCTATCTTCTTATAGCCTTCTCCAGCTTTGTGAGCGTCAACTATTTTCAGTTTCAGTTTTCTAGACAACTGCTTAGAAGAACCCATGGTGCTGATTGTTGGGGCAAGGTCAGATGAGTCTGGGCATTTAAAACCTTTGAGATTGACATCACCTGGTCTTCCCAGACGATGATTGAGAACAATCCATGACACTGGCAGGTCTCAGCTTGGCAAAGGGGGCAGTACAAGATATTAAGGCTACGTTCACACTAGCCTTGTGTGCAGGCGGCAGAGAGGCGTTTGGGAAGCGTTTTTACCGCTTCCCAAACGCCTCTGCCAATTCTGCACATTACAGCACATGGTGCTGTTCTAACGGGAGCGTTTGCGTCGCGTCGCGTTGCGTCGCGGCAAAACGGACGCCTCTGGACGAGTCAGGAGGCTTTGAAGCCTCCTATTCTTGTCTATGGTGCCGCTCCGCTCCCGGCCGGCGTTTGCGGTGCGGTTGCGACGCGGTTGCGGGGCGTTTGCGGAGCGGTAACACCACTCAAACTGCATTATAGGCGTTTGTGGGGCGTTATTAATGCTCGGCAAACACCTAGCAACCGCCGCTAAACCATGCCGCATGCGGCGTTTGCGGAGCTTTTGCCGAGCGTTAATAACGCTCCGCAAAAACGCCGGACCAACGCTTGCCAAAAGCTATAGGGGCGTTTGGCAAGCATTGGCAAAACAGCCTAGTGTGAACGAGCCCTACCTCTGCAGGGTGCCCAAACTTTTGCAGACGCCATTTTTTTGTTTTCTGTTATTTTGAAAGTGTAAATTATGGAAATAAAATCTAACTTTTGTTGACATATTATAAGAATGTCTAATCTGTAATTTGATGCCTTTTGGAGATTTTTCCATCTTTCCTTGGCTTCTTTATGCACATTAATACAAATTTTTAGCTGGGGTGCCCAAACTTTCGATCCCCACTGTATATCACAGACCTCACATGAGGAAGATGCTATATCCCTGTTCTAAGTGCGGGAAATGTTTTCTCCGAAAAACTAGACTTTACATATATCAGAGTTCTAACACAGGTGAAAAGCCATATGTCTGTCCTGAGTGCGGGAAATACCTTTCAGTGCAGCTTAGTCTTCACACACATCAGAGATCTTACACAGGGGCAGAAGTTGCATACCTGTCCGGAGTGCAGGAAATGTTTTTCATGTGAGTCCTATTTTTGTATTTCAATGGTTTTTATTAATTTTAAACAGTATAAAACAGAGGCAACAGAGGCAACAAAAACACGCCCACGCAGGGGCTATCAATTGCACCGATAGAAAATGCATAATAGAGCAGACAACGCTCTAATTCCAATAAGGCAAAACGTATGCCCGCGCAGGGGCTATCAATGGCACATAGGTTACAATAACATCAGTGAAACTCAGATTATCGCACCTAAAGACAGCTGTCCACTGTCACATCAAAACAAACAGAAAAGGAAAGAAGAAAAGCAGAGAAGAAAGAAAGAGAAAAAAGAAAAAAAAAAAAAAAAAAAACACACACCAAAGAGCAAGGGTCCATGAGCGCCAATACAAAACTCCTTCACCTCCCTACACTGGCAGGGGGGAGCGTGGGAAAGGCATATTGCAACCACGGCTCCCATATTGTCAAAAATTTATGTTGAGAGTCGTTGCATATACTCGACATCTGTTCATTGAGCATCATAGTAGTCATACGATCCCGCACCCCCTGAAAAAGTACAAACGGACTCTTCCAGGCCTGGGCAATTGTCCTAGTGGCCGATAAAAACAAATAGGAAGCCAACCGCTGCTGACGAGCCAAGAGGCCCGGTATGGGGCAATGAAGCAAAGCATACCGAGCATCCCGGCGTATGGAGAGATGAAACAAAGTGAAAAGGAGGCCAAACACACGAGACCAAAAACGAACCAACCTCGGGCATGACCACCAGATATGCAGTACATCGCCACGATGGCCACAACCCCGAAAACATCGATCACTACAGGCAGGGTTAGCCTGGGCCAAACGAGCCGGCACCCAATACCAACGAAACAATACCTTATAGGCTGCTTCCAGCGTGGTCGTATTAAACGAACATTTAGCTATGAGTGACCAGGCTTTATGCCAGTCCTCCGGATCCACAGCCACTCCCAGGTCGCGTTCCCACTGAACTACATATGAAAGAGAAGTGTGCGACGAGCATCTGTTCAAAGCTGCGTAAAGAAAGGGAGATAAGGCCCGGGGCGCCCGGACGCTGTTGGCAAAGCCGTTCAAAGGCAGATTTCTGATATGGGAAAGCAGAAGTGGCCCTCAGCGAGAGCAGCCAGTGCCGCAATTGAAGGGTACCGAAAAAATTCCGCTGGGGGAACATCCCGAGACTCCCGGAGGACATTCCAGGTGGGAAAGGACCGAAAAATCAAAAAGTGTTGCACCTGTGAGAAACCATGAGCCACCCACCAAGAAAATGCCCTCGGGTGATCTAGACCCGGCGGAAAAAGAGGATTATTAACGATTGGAAGCAAGGGCAAGAAAGGCGACATCAGACCACTGGAGTAACGTACCGAGTCCCAGACTCGTAGGCCATGGAGCAACATCGGACTCAGCACCGTAGGGCGCAGGGCAGGGGGAAGCCATAGAAGTGTCGATAGTGCGATAGGGGCACAATTAGGTAGTTCCAGCAGGACCCAGAGAGGAACGTCGGAGGAAGCGTGCAACATAGACAGCGGGGCAATTTGGCTCGCCTGATAATACTTAGTTACATTGGGTACCCCAAGACCACCTTGGAGTCTATGAGCAAAGAGCGTATTTCTAGAAACTCTGGGATGCTTATTGGCCCAGATAAAACGCATAAACTTCGCCTGAAGCAACCGAAGAAAATGAGGGGGAACCCGCACTGGGAGGGTGCGAAAATAATATAACAATTTCGGCAAGATGGTCATTTTCACTGAGTGAACCCGTCCTATCCAAGACAGGTGCGGAAATTGCCAGGAATACATAAGAGAAGATAAGGAGCTAAGCAAAGGATAATAATTTGCAGCAAAAAGGGAGTCATAGGTGGGGGTCAAGCGAATGCCCAAGTATTCAAGAGAAGAGAGGAAGCCCACCGGTAAGGGAAATGGGATTGTAGGCGTGAAACCAAATCTGAAGCCAAAGTAATATTGAGAGCAACGGTTTTATCCAAATTAATACGTAGACCCGAGATCAAGGAAAAGCGCTCAAGAACCCGTTGCAAATTAGGAAGCGTCGTCAGAGGATTAGTAAGGGTCAAGAGGGCATCGTCCGCAAAGAGGCTCAGCTTAAACTCCTGTCCCGCGTATGGAACCCCCGATACATTGCAGTCGGTCCCGGAGCGCTAAAGCCAGTGGCTCAAGCGCCAGGACAAAGAGTGCCAGGGACAGTGGGCAGCCCTGCCTCGTCCCTCGCCCAACAGGAAAGGGATCCGAGAAATATCCAGCGTATTTAACGGAAGCCGAAGGAAAGGAATACAAGGCTTGAATCCATGAGAGAATAGAATCCCCAAAACCCCAGCGAGACAGCACAAACCGCAGATATTCCCAGGATAGAGAATCAAAAGCTTTATATATGTCCAAGGACAGTAAGAATCCTGGGATTTTCCGTTGTTGCAGAAAATGTATAAGATGGACCACCTTACGGACGTTATCACCCGCCTGCCTCCCGGGGACGAACCCTACTTGGTCCCTGTGGACCAGGCTACACAAATATTTATTGATGCGAAAACTAAGGATCTTGCCCAATATTTTCAAGTCTTCATTAAGAAGAGAGATGGGCCGGAAGGCTTGCGGTTCCTGGACATCATCGGTCGTCTTAGGAATCATAGAGATATGTGCCCTAAGTGCGTCCGGAGAGGGCAAGGAGCCCTGTCGTAACTCATTAAAGTAGGCAGCTAAAAAGGGTGCCAAAAGGGCTGAGAATTTTTTATAATAGAGACCGGAGAAGCCGTCTGGACCTGGGGCCGCGGTGGACCGTAAAGATTTGATTGCTTGTAGCACTTCCGGTACGGTGACACCTGCGTTGAGGGCCGCCTGTGCTGCCTCGGTTAAATCCAGGAAGATGGAGGTCCTGAAAGAAAGCCTCTGCCTGGGCCACAGGGAAGGGATCTGGGGCAGCATAGAGGCGCGCGAAAGGAAGCCCGAGAATCGGGAAACAATCTGCTGGGGATTAGAAGTACAGCCACCCGTGGAAAGTCGAAGCCGAATCGGTTTATGGGGTTTCCCCACAGAATTTAGTTTCCTGGCTAGCATGGGACCGGGCTTATTAGCACACGAATAGAATTTATGTTTGGTCCAACGCAAGGCCCGTTCCGCCTCCGAAGAGGCAAGGAGGTCCAATTCTGTCGCCAGAGCGTCCCGAGCGCGTTTATGGGCCACGGATGGAGATGACTTCCAACGCGCATCCGCAGAGGCCAGGAGAGAATGAAGCTCCGAGAGTCGACGTTCCCGCTCCCGCTTCCGGACCGCAGCCAGCTGTATAACATGACCCCGCACCGTGGCCTTATGCGCTTCCCATAGGGGCACTGCTGAAGAGACCGATCCCGAGTTTTCCGTAAAGTATGTCCGTAAGAAGAATTCTATTTCTTGGCAGGTAGCCTGAGTGGTCAGTAAAGAGTCATTGATGCGCCAATGAAAAGGCGTCGTTCTGACCCAGAAAGGGCAAGGAGGAGTACCAAAGGATCATGGTCTGACCAGGGTGAGGAGGGAATAGTTATCCGCCGGACCGAGGGGAGTTGCTGGACCTGCATGAATATATGATCAATTCTACAAAAAAACTGTCATGAGGGTTAGAATAGAACGTAAAGTCGCGTTCAGTTGGATGAAGTTCCCTCCAGACGTCCGCTAACCCCGCTGTCCGCAAAAGAGAGCGCATACGTGCCTCCAGCACCAAGTCATGAGAGGGGGTCGCTCCTTGTGCGTAGCGCCTATCCAGTGTGGAATCCAAGGTAACATTCGAATCCCCCATAACAAGAAGAAGACCCTTAGAGTGTCGAGAAATAATGGTGCAAAGATGTGAAAAGAATTTATGCTGGAAACGGTTAGGCGCGTAGTAAGAGACAAAGGTAACCTCCTGGTCCCAGAGGGTGCCTTGCAGAAGCAAATACCTGCCCGTGGGGTCCGCTATATTCCGAGCACAGACAAAGGGGAGATTGCGTTTAAAAGCTATCAGAACACCCCGACGCTTCTCAGGAGCCGAGGCCGTGTAAAAGATGGGATAGTGAGGTGAAAGATAACGCGGAGCGGAGGACTGAGAAAACCTGGTCTCCTGTAGACATACCACATCAATTTGTTGTGACTTGAGATGATGAAAAACTTTAGCCCGCTTCTGAGGCGAATTGAAGCCTTGAACATTATGTGAATATATTTTCAAAAGGGGTGAGGCCATGGCGGTATCAACGCAATACGCTCAGCAGAAAAAAAGCCCAAAGCAGCCAGCAATTTCCACTCCCAATGGCGATCGGACCATGGCGTCCCGGAACCCTGCAGAAAACAAAAACAAAAAAAAACAGAGAAAAAGAGAAGAACAAAGAAAGAAAAAAGGAAAAAGACACAAAAAAGTATACAGAACAGTGCAATCGTGTCACACCAATGGTGACGTGCATCCTACACATGAAGGATACAGTTAGGGGTAACTCTACCACCGGACAAATGGCTGCAAATGGAAACATCAAAACAGAAGCCCTCAGGGGGCAAAAAGGCAATGTACATAATAGAATATAGTAAATCTTAATAAACTAAAAGTCCCAGAAGCAGGAACCTCCGCGACAACCTCCCCATAGAAACCCGGAGAACCACAGGGGCCAACCCCCCTCCACCCAACCAGGCCCACCGGGTCAACCTCCCACCCCGGAGCCCAAGGGAACCATCACCCAATGCCACAAACGTAGACCCAAGCACCATCACATGGACCCAAAACAGGCTGCGGCAGCAAAAAGTCCCGATTCCTAAGTCCAGGAAGAGACCCCCCCCAACCCGGGATGAAACCCAAAAGGGCAAGCCGGAGCAGTCTCAACCTAGAATGTTGACAAACCGGGGAGGCCCTAAGGGCCAAACTCACGATCTCGTCAGGGTAGTCCCTCGGTGAGACAATATGTGGGAGTTCCAAGGCGCATCTTCAGCCTGGAGAAGAACAGGAAGGACTTGATCGCGAAGGGGTCTGAGGGAGAGCCCCCCTCCTGGTGGACGACCGCTCCCAGATGCGGCCCAGAGCGGGCGGCCTTGCCGAGGATCCAGATGAATGAGCCGGGCTCCGATCAGCAGCTTCCGGCGAGAGAAGATGTAGAGATTCCAAGAGAGAATGGGCCTCCTCCGGCGTAGCCACAGAATGACTGCGGCCCTGGTAGGTGAAGGTGAGGCGGAACGGAAAGCCCCAAGCATATTTAATTCTGTGTTTTCACCAGGACCGAAGTGAAGGGCTTCAACTGGCGTCGCTTCTGGAGAGTGGTCTGAGAGAGAGTCTGCGAAAAGCTGGTAGCGGTGCCCCTGGAAGCTAAGATCAGGGTTATTTCTGGCCGCCAAGAGGATAGTTTCCTTAGTGCGGTAATAAGTAAACTTGATGATAATGTCCCTCGGGGGCCCATCCGTCGTCTGGGGGCCCAAAGAACGATGTATGCGGTCAAATTCGAGCCGGTCAATGGGAATAGCGGGTGTCAGCTCCTGAAACAGAGCAGTAGCAGTGGAGGTAAGATCCGTGACCGTTTCCGGAATACCCCTTAACCGCAAATTGCCACGGCGGGAACGGTTTTCGAAATCCTCAAGCCGCAGTAGTGCGTCCGCCAATTCCTTCTTAAGGTCGCACAGGTCCTGTTCGTGATTTTCAATGACCGTGGCAGCAGCGTCCATTTTATCTTCGAGATCATTCGTCCGATTGCCCAAATCCCGAATTTCCCGCGAAAGACGGTCGGCCAGCTTGGAGGTAGCGGAGGACAATTCTGATTGCAACATAGTTTTAAAGCGGCGCAGGAGCTCGGCATCCCGCAGGGATGGAATGTGCGACTGCCGGGATGGCTCGGGATCCAGGTCCTCCCCACTGCCAGGATCCATCTCACCTGCAGGTAGTGATGGCAGGGGACCCAAACTTGCAGCCAGGGCTTCAGCTGTTGTCCCGGGCGAAAACCGCGAATCCGTCCGCGGCCGGGGTCCTGGAAGCCTCCGGCGGCCGGCCCAAAATCGAGGCCGCGGCTTTCACCCGCGATCTCCGGCGGGTAGGCCGCAACCTCCCGAACGGTCCGTCGGACACTGGAGGTGCGGGCAGCCGGGGTTTTTTTCCCCATCAGGGTGCTAGAAGGACAGGGGGACAGGTAGGAAGCGGAGGGACCCCCCCTGAGGGTCAGAAATCGGCCGATTTGTCCGGTGGCCGAGACAGTGAATTAATAGGCAGCCATCCTGGCTGCTGCTCACGAGCGCCCCCCGTGAGTCCTATTTTTATATATGCCAGTGATAACACAAGAGGGAGCAGCTATACCCTTGTTCAGAGAGTGTGGGAAATGTTTTTCACAGAAGTCCAACCTGCATATATATCAGAGACCTCACATGAGGAAGATGCTATATCCCTCTTCTAAGTGCGGGAAATGTTTTCTCAGATAAGTCTAGACTTTATATATATCAGAGATCTTACACAGGTGAAAAGCCATATGTCTGTCCTGAGTGCGGGAAATACTTTTCAGTGAAGCCCAGTCTTCACACACATCAGAGATCTTACACGGAGGAGAAGTTGTATACGTGTTCGTAGTGCGGGAAATGTTTTTCAGAGAAGCCCTTTTCTTCATATATGACAGAGATCTCATAAGGGGGAAAAGCCGTATTGGGGACAAGAGGGTGAGTGAGAGCGGCAAAAGTACTGAGCAGGGGCAAACTGACCATTTGGAAACTCGGGCACTGCCCGAGGGCCGGGGTCAGTAGGGGGCCCCATGAGATGCCACTGGTACCTTTTTCATAGGCCTTTTTGAGTTTGGGGAAGGACACAGGGGCCCCATGATCCCCTATTGCCCGGGGGCCCCATGAGTTGTCAGTCCGCCCCTGGTACTGAGATTAATATATTGCATGGGAACTGAACTGTATGTATTGAACTATATGTTTAACCATTTGACGCACGGCCTATGGCCAAATGGCGTACGCAAAAATGCATTAGCTTTCCGGGAGGCCGCCATATGGCGTCTTCCCGCACATGCGCAGTTCGCACGCTTGCAGAGCCACGCAGCGGCGCGATCTGTCACCGGCCGTGTACCTCGGACACGGCCGATGACAGATCTGAGTACCGGCCCCCGTTGCCGGTACCATGTGACCTGCTGTGACTAATCACAGCAGGTCACATGACAGTTGTATACAATGAATGGCTTCATTCATGCCATCCATTGTATACTAGTGTCTAGCTGTGAATGGTCACAGCTAATCACATGCACATGTCATGTGATTAGCTGTGGCCAAATCACAGCTAAGCGCAAAAAAAAACAAAAAAAAAAAAACCCTGAATTTATCGATGTCATTCAGGTAAATGCTTGCTTATAGCAAAGTAATTCTTTGCTATAAGCAAATTGTGTAAAAAAAAATACTGATCACTTCCCCAAAGTAGTACAATGTTACTATGTTAACATTGTACTACTTTGGACATAGTGAAATATGAAAAAAATCTTAAAAAAAAGAAAAAAAATGTAATAAAAAATTTTTAAATAAAAAAAAAATATATATATATATTTTTTTTTTTTTTTCACACTGTCACCAGTCAGTGTCCCTGATCACCGCCATGCCAGTTATATGATGACGCTGTACTGCACTGATGACAGTATATAAAAAAAAATAGTGAAAATAATTTTTTTTATTTTTTTTCATTTTCCAAAAAATTATGACAAAAAAAAAACAACTTCAAAAAACTCGCCATGCCTCTTATGAAGTACGTCGGACTGTCTACTTTGCAAAAAGTTGTGATTTGGGGGATATCTGTACTATTCTGACATTCTTGGACCTCAAGAAATTAGATTGGCTGTCAGTACTTCAGGACTGATCAATATTCAGATCTATACCATAGTTTGTGAACTCTATAACTTTCCTACAGACTAAAAAATCCATCCTAATTTGGGTTATTTTCACCAAAGACATGTAGTAAAATACATCTCGGCCTAAATTTATGAAGAACAATTATTTATTTGCAAACTTTTATAACAGAAACAAAGAAAAACGTATTTTTTAAAAAAAAAATTTGGTCTTTTTTGTTAATTTAGCAAAAAATAAAAACCCCAGCGATGATTAAATACCACCAAAAGAAAGCTCTAGTTGTGTGAAGAAAATGCTAAAATTTTAGTTTCTGTAAAATGTTGTATGACTGCGTAATTGTCATTCAAAGTGTGAGAGCGCTGAAACCTAAAAAATGGCCTGGGCAGGAAGGTGTAAAATTGCACGGTATTGAATTGGTTAAACTGAGGAGGGGTTTACCCAGGGCTTCTTAGAGGAAAATCAGAAGGAAGACAATGTAAAAGATAAAGACCTAGAAGAAGATGACCCGGGTTGATGATTTGGGGTGAGAGAAAAAGGAAGAAAAAGAACTGAGAGGGGGATACCCATGGAAGACAACAAATTTTGATCTCAAATCAAAAAAAGCCCCCCCCCCCCAAAACCAGAACTGTGGAAAATGGAAATAGTCCCTGACAGCATGAAAAACAAAGTATCAAAGGGAGGAGGGCCTAAGGCTTCCCAAACATGATCAATTAAAAAATATATAAACTCACAAGAGAAACAGACTCCAGAGAGACAACAGGGGATAAGTGTAAAAGGTGTGAGGGAAAACAGCGGGGAATGTTCCAGGCTATCCCTGGGAATAGCTAACAGTAGTCAACATATGGAAGAAGAAGTGGATATGGATAAAGTAGAGGAACAAGAGGAGAGCTCACAGATGCCTAATAAAGCAGAAATAGCAGAAATGTTTAAAGGACTCGAAAGATCCCTAAAACAGGAACTGGCGAAATTACACAAAGACCTGGGGCAAATATTATCAAGGGTGGAGGAGACGGAAGAAAAACTAGATAAACATTCAAACATAGAAAAAAACGGGCGATGGAAATGAGAAAAGAACAAAAAAATCTGTTATATAAATTGGAAGACCAGGAGAATAGGGATATGAGATGCAAGCTAAGGATACAAGGCTTTCCAGAGATCTCCCAAGGAGAAGATTTGATGGGAATAATAACGAGAATGCTGAATACTATAATGGATAGAACTATAACAGAGCCTCTCAAAATGGAGGGAGTATATAGAATAGGAAAATATACACAAGAAGATAGAAAGGAAAAGCCAAGGGTATGGGGTGGGGATAGGTAGTTTAAGACTCTGCGAAATAGTGGGAGAAACATCAGTCTGGAGAAATTCTAGAGATGAAAGGGGAAGATGTGGAGGAAAGAGGAAGAGAGAAGAGATGGGGAAGATAGAGGTGTGGAGAGGAGAAGAATGGAAGAGATTCACTTTGTGACTTATAATGTTAAAGGGTTAAATATCCCTGGGAAGAGATTTGGGATTTTTAAAGAAATTCAACATAGATTTTCTTCAGTGTTTTTTTTTACAGGAGAAACATTTGGTGCAAGAATAAAATGTGAAATTAAATTCCAGATATTATCCAATGTGGTTTTATGCAGATTCCCCAATTAAACGTGCCAAGGGAGTGGCAATAGGTTTTGCGAAAAATATGAGGTTTAAGCTGGAAGACAGATTGGTAGATCCGGAAGGGAGATTTCTGTTTCTGAAGGGAAAATTACAGGAAATAGACTGTACATTAGCAAATATTTATTGCCCGAATAAGAAACCGGAGGTATTCCTAAAAAATACTTTGAGGAAGTTAATGGATTTCAAAAAAGGCAACTTAATTGTGGCAGGTAATTTCAATCTCTGCATGGATCCCCAGATGGATATGACGTCCCCTGTGCAGAGAGATGGTAGTAGGTCTCTGAAATCCTTGAAAAAAATTATATACCGATGTCAGCTTGTAGACATATGGAGAATTAAGCACATGAAGGACAGAGGCTATACATTTTATTCTCATGCACATGAGATATATTCAAGACTGGATTATATATTGCTGGACCATCAACTTATCGAGTCTCTGGTCAAAGTAAAAATAGAAGTGATGTCAATATCGGACCATGCCCCTGTCACAATGCAATTATTATGGGGAAATGAGCAATTATTAGAGATGAGCGAATTATTCAAAAATTCGATTCGGCTGATTCGCCGAATTTGCGGGAGAAATTTTGATTCGATGCGAATTTATTCGCCGCAAATTTAACTTATTTAAAGGGTTTCTAGGCTTCAGAGAGCCTTTATATTAGTGCAGAACACTGTACCTTTAATTTAAATGCCCTTGGAGTCTGCTGGGGAAGAGAAATAATACTGTCAGTCAGTATGACATGCAGATGAGTGCCGTCGATCTTAGAATCACCGCACACTTCACTCATTTGGGCAGTCACGGGGCACGACGACGAAGAAGAAGAAGAATGAAAAGAAGAATGAAAAGAAGAAGAAAAAGAATGAAAAGAAGAAGAAGAAGAATGAAAAGAAGAAGAAGAATGAAAAGAAGAATGAGAAGAAGAATGAAAAGAAGAAATAAAAGAAGAATGAAAAGAAGAATTAAAAGAAGAATGAGAAGAATGAAAAGAAGAATGAAAAGAAGAAGAATGAAAAGAAGAAGAAGAAGAATGAAAAGAAGAATGAAAAAAAGAAGAAGAAGAATGAAAAGAAGAATGAAAAGAAGAATGAAAAGAAGAATGAAAAGAAGAAGAATGAAAAGAAGAAGAAGAATGAAAAGAAGAAGAAGAATGAAAAGAAGAAGACAAAGAATGAAAAGAAGAAGAAAGAAGAATGAAAAGAAGAAGAGAAGAATGAAAAGAAGAATGAAAAGAAGAAGAAGAAGAATGAAAAGAAGAATGAAAAAAGAAGAAGAAGAAGAAGAAGAAAAGAAGAAGAAAAAAGAAGAATGAAAAGAAGAATGACAAGAAAAAGAAGAAGAATGAAAGAGGAAGAAGAAGAATGAAAGAAGAAGAAGAAGAAAGAAGAATGAAAAGAAGAATGAAAAAGAAGAAGAAGAAGAATGAAAAGAAGAAGAAAGAAAAGAAGAAAAGAATGAAAAGAAGAAAGAAAAGAAAGAAGAAGAAGAAAAAGAAGAATGAAAAGAAGAAGAAGAAGAATGAAAAAGAAGAAGAAGAAAAAGAAGAAGAAGAAGAAAAGAAGAAGAAAAAGAATGAAAAGAAGAAGAAGAAGAAGAAGAAAAGAATGAAAAGAAGAAGAAGAAGAAGAAAAGAAGAAGAAGAAAAGAAGAAGAAGAGAAAATGAAGAAGAAGAAGAAGAAAAGAAGAAGAAAAGAAGAAGAAGAAGAAGAAGAAGAAGAAAGAAAGAATGAAAAGAAGAAGAAAGAAGAAAAGAAAAGAATGAAAAAGAAAGAAAAGAAGAAGAAGAAGAAGAAGAAGAAGAAGAAGAAGAAGAAAAAAAAAGAAGAAGAAAAAAAGAAGAAAAGAAGAAGAAGAAGAATGAAAAGAAGAAGAAGAAAAGAAAATGAGAAGAAGAAAGAAAAGAAGAAGAAGAAGAATGAAAAGAAGAAATGAAAAGAAGAAGAAGAAGAAAAGAAGAAGAAGAAGAAAAAGAAGAAGAATGAAAGAAGAAAAGAAGAATGAAAAGAAAAGAAGAAGAAAATGAAGAATGAAAAAAGAAGAAAAGAAGAAGAAAAGAAGAAGAAAGAAAAGAATGAAAAGAAGA